CCTTCTCCAGGGACTGGTCCCTCCTGATGACGTGTCCAAAGTACATGAGACGAAGTCTCGCCATCCTCACCTCTAAGGAGCATTCTGGCTGCACTTCTCCCAAGACAGATTTACTTTACCTAGCAGTCTATTTGAAAGGAGGTGGTACAAAAAAGGTAGATGCCTCCTTCCCTTCAAGGTTATTCTCACACTAAGATTCTCTTTCAGTAGAGGTAGTATATATGGGTTGGGGTTGTAGTTTTGTTTTTGCTATTTACTTAAAAAATATTTGGCTCATAGGCATATATATACTTACCAGTATGACTTGTTAGATACCAGAAGCATTTTGCACTTGGTACTTTGATAATGAAACCGTAAGGTTATGATTTTTGCTCAATTCAGGTGTTGGAGTTAAAAAGAGGTATCTGAAAACCATGCTTTTTAAAGGATAGAATTCTAATGGTTTATAACATCCTTTCCAAATTTAGTGATGTGCTTTTATACAACACACGCAATTCTAATGGACACAACTTCTAAAACTAATTTCCTACAAAGCGTTTGTAGTAAAGAATGGCAAAATCAAGTACATTGTATAGCTTTCTTGAATAGCCTTGTTGTACAGGGGAAGTGTATATTTACCTTTCAGGTTTAAACTTGAGGTTTATTAATCATAAAAACCATAATTTAGCCTTGCATCCCAGCACACCAGTGAATCAAGACATTTCTTAGGAAGCTGTAATTAGATAACCAGTTTGTAACTAAGTAAAAGTAAAAGCTGACCTTTCTCCTTGAGATGAAATAACACCAACTATATGAACAACAGATGATTTATGATTCAAATGAGCCTAAATAGAATTTAAGGGGATAAAATCATGCTTCTTTTTAAGAGATATCATCTTTTCTCCTGTCAGTAGCACAGATTTAACAATATGGCCAATGTATCGCAACACGAGAATTGCCCAGTGTGCGTTCATATGAGACTGCAGTGTGACATTATGCTGCTATGCAGAGAAGATGTTTGGTACAATCCATCACCCATTAAAATTCTATCGGTGTAATGGTGAGATTTCAGAGTATAGTACAGAACCCTGTACTGAGAAGCAGAAACAAATAACCAATTGCATTGACAAAGTCAGCCTTTTTTGCTTCTTCACGCAAAGCATGAAACCTAATCTAAGTCTTACAGTGCCCTCTCCTCCGTTTCTGTTCAGAACATCAACAAAGTGCAAACAGAAATGCACTAGCTGCCCTGACTGGGCTTGACAACTTTCCAGGGTCTGATAACTGACAGAGATGTCTTGCACAAACACCAGAATGACGGGGGGGTTATGAGCTGGGCAAGGAGACTATTATCACTTCCTCTTTAAAAGTGAAGAGCCTCTCAGATCTTATTTCTAAATCTGCAGAAAAGCAGACTGCGCACAAGTTAGAAAATTAAATGTCTGGAAGAGCAAACTTCAGTGGCAAACTTAAGCAAGCTGCGTGCTCATGCTTTCTGTTCTTTCTGTTCTTCTCTTGTCCCTTGACTATTCTCTTCCCTTGTCTGTGTCACCTCATTTCTCTCTTACTAATTGTCACCCCTCCAGTTCTACCATTCATCTGTCTGGTAGAGACCAAGAGCACTCTGCTCTACTCCAAAACGTTCCTCTGAAGCACCGTTTTCTCTTTTGATACAAATCTGACTGAGAACTTGGAGCCGATGGAGTCAAGCCTGAGAGAGAACCTGCTGGGCTTCTGCGAAGGCAAAGCTTCTTTCTTTAATCAGGAGTCACTGTGAGTCATGGCAATAGGGTGGAATATGACTACACGGGGGAGTTTGACATGAGATTTTCTCAAAGCTGGGGTAGGACAATGTGACAGAGGAGAAAAGTTGCAAACAAATAGGAATTACGGGCAACATACTTGAGACATGTAGATATTGACGCATGGAATTTATCTGTAAAGTAGGTTCTAGTTTCTAACAAAGTGGGTACTTCATAGACATTTTTTAAAAATTATTTTAGTGTTAGGTATTGAATGGTTTAGTAGGAAGTGAAATAAGTACAAATCAAAGTGATATGGTTTATTTATAGCCACGGAGGCTACCTCCACCAAACTTACTGGCAGCATAAATTAAATAAGCAGTACCAATGTGGCAGAAATAACAGATTTTTGCTTGTTCTCAATTTTCCTTCTACATCAATATTCATTTTATGTAATTTACCTAAAGTGTAATGTGAGGTCTACCCATATAACAGAATAATAATAATAATTTTCAAGGGTTTCCCATTGGCCAAGGACTATTTTAAAAGCTTTAATACCTTATTTCATTTAATGATCAAAACACATAATTAGTTAGATATTATTATGCCCATGTTACAGATAGGGAAACAGTGAGTCAGAAAGTTTAAGTATGTTGTCCAAGGTCCCAAAACTAATAAAAGATTTCTATCTCAAAAGCCTAACCAAGAATCCATGCTATTAATGAAGTCATTCATTCATGCAGCATTTACCGTGCCACCTGTAATTCTAGGTGCATTCAATTATATCGTTTTATACCACACTATACCATTGGGCATTTTCATGGGAGTGATATTCAGAGATTCTTTTCAGACCCAGTTATTTTGTTTCTCAGTTTCAGATGGCTGAAGTATTTTCATATTTTAGCATCACAGAATGTTTAACACTACATTAATGATGAAGAAGCTAAGGAAGGCCTGTTTGATAAGATTATTTACACGACATAGAACCAGCAAGGCTGTCACAGGGTAAAGATTACTGGTGACAAATTTGTTTCCATGATCTTGTTTAGCAAACATCTCATGTTAAAGACAACAAAGTGGTGGGTGGTCCAGCCACTCCGTTTGCCAGGAATCACCCCAGCCGCTAATATTACATGTTTACAGAGTGGTCTAAGCTCAAGTGTGATGCACAGTCTAGTCATGGGAAGTAATATGGTATCAGGGAGCAGTAGCCAAAGCCAGGAAGATCCAAGGGGACAAATTAAAACACACACACACACACAGAACTATTGCTACAGAAAGATGTGTCGGAAATAATATATCCAAACATGGCGCTGAAGTTGTGTTCGGGTGGAGGGGGATGTACATGAAAAACGTTGCCAAGGTTCTGAGTGACTGCTGAAGATCCACACAACCATCTTCCCTTCTCCTCACGGCTATAGAAGTACTGTAGAATCTTACATACTTTGACATCTGGCAAACTATTCAGATTTTTCCAGATATGCATTCCTTTGGGCCACAAAGAGATAATGCTTAACCTCAGTGTGAGGACTAAATTAGCATTGCTGCTCTATAGTTGAACACATTATTTTCTTTTTTAGAAGGAAGTTGTTTCCTTCTAGAAAGTTTCCTCTTTAAAACTTGCAGGACTTCTTCCCTTTTCCTGTGTTGACCCAGTCTGTGCAATACACTGCTTTAGCCGCCCATGCTTAATTCTATCTCGTAACTTGGATAGAAAAGTGTAGCCTGTATTCGTTGCATGTTGGTATGATTTACAGACATAGACTAGATGAACTCAGGACACCCCAAAGGTGTGTAAATAATAGTAAACAGAGGGAATTACAAAATGTGACCCTGAGTTCTGCTGTGGTAAGCTACATATATTTTAATTTTTAAATAAATCAAAACATGGAATGTTCCTTATATAAAAAAAAATAAGTGGACAAAGCTCAAATATGAAAACCAGGTGCTGGGATTGATACTCTGAGTCCAGAAAATGCAAGTCTATGTATTTAGCTTCCTGGTCTTTAATACGTGGTACCTTATTTAAAAGGAGCCCTGGTGGCACAGTGGTTAAAGCGCTTGGCTGCTAAATGAAAGGTCAATGGTTGGAACCCACCAGCTGCTCCGGAGGAGAAAAATGTGGCAGTCTGCTTCATAAATATTCCAGCCTTGGACACCCTATGGGGCAGTTCTACTCTGTCCTATGAGGTTGCTATGAGTCGGATGACAGCAATGGGTTTGGTTTACTGTTTTAAAGACAGCTTCTGAAAGGGGTAAAATGTAACATTCCCTCTTTGAATAACTGACACAGTCAATAATAGTGATGATAACATGCCACCTTTTTAAAACTGCTTTTACATATGCTCTCTCCTTTGGTCCTCCCAAAAGCCCATTAGGTACAGCGATAGAAAAGGAAACAAAGACACAGATGTAAGCATACCCAGGAGGGTGCACCAAAGACCTTGCCACAGAACTTCCAGTCTAGGGCTCTTTCTCCTGCTTCTCCCTTGACTGTGCTGCTACTGAAATCTCGCTATCATATACCCTACAGAGCTAGACAACCTGGAAGACCCAGACAAAGGCAGATGGAACCACTATCCTTCAATCTATGTTCTAATTAAACGTCATATTTTTAAACGTTGGACTAATGTAATATTGTGCCACTCAATGGGAAATCTAACAAGTAGAAAGTAGAGTTTTAATATTTTTTGGAAAAAATTTTTCTTTAAAGAAGATAATGGTGATAGTTAACTGAAAAATACCTATCCACCTTGCTATCTATCTGTGTATCTCCACTTATTAGTAGACAATTACCTCCAAATTTCAAATACATTGCTTTACAGTCAATGCTCGGCTGTGATAATCAAAATTTTCCCAAAAGCATATCAAGTTGCATCCAAAGAAAGCAAGGCATACCAGAAAGAAAAGGAAAACAGAAAGGCTTTCCTTCTGTAATGGATTTAATTGCCCAGAGTTCTGAGTTCCTGCATGAAGCAGGAATTTCCCACTCATAACAAATTGTAGACATCGACTTGGGAGGTTGACTGCTATTTCCTCCAATAAAGTTTGTTCATATTCTCTCTCTTCCTCTCTCTCTCCTTCTCTCACTCTCCCTCTATCTCCCTCTCCCTACATGCTTTTGTTAGAAATTCAGGAACAGCATTTTAACTGGAAAATATGGCTGCCTGAAAGAGGTATGGAATATAACAAAAGCTTTACCCCAAAGCTTCTATGCATTACAAAAGCTTGCACTCGGATAATAGAAATATTTAGCCTCAGGTGACTGAGAACACTTACTGTTGGTTGCATAACGTATGGCGGATGAGGCATCCATGAAGTACTCTGGACCTATGCATCAAACAGCATTTATTAGCACAAAGCAATCACAGAGAGAACTTGGTTCTTGTGTTCAGTGGAGTCACACTAGGATATAAGAAAGTGGAGTCCATCTGACTGTGTAGCTAATTAGTGCTCAAAACCAAGGACAGAAAGGAGATTCTTGGGCCTGATTAATTTGATCTCTGAAACTTGGTAAAAATGCATAGTAACTTCCCATTTCACTGGAGCTGGCTGTAATGCCCACATGCTCCAGGTTGGGTCTTGAGGCATATTTTGAAGTTCGTGATGGAGACTAACGCCTCAGGAGGCCTCAGAAACTATATGGCGGTCAAGTCCCAGAGATGTCCTGGCAAGTAATGAAAAAGGCAAGAGTTGACAGTTAAGACTTCTTTTTCTATCATTGGTTCTAACTTTAAAGTCTCAAGTGAACCCTTCTTGGAAGTATGTCCAAGGAGTAAAAGTTGGGGTAAGAACTAAATAGAAAATCTAGAAATTCTGGAGAAGGCTTTGGGTTCAACCCAAGCTAAGCAACTTTGTAACTTTTTTCTCTTGTAGTAATTTGTATGGCAAATAAAAAATGAATATTTGAGCCGGCCAAGTGTTCAGAGATGTACCACGTGTCAGCCAGATGAGAAAGTCAGCTTGTAAGAACTGACTGTCACAAGGAGAACCCTGAAGAATTTGGTTTTCAATATACTTATACCAATGGAATTGCCAGTGCTGTTTAGATTTTTAAAAAATAAATAAATAAAAGACGAAGAAGTGGGTGAGAGGCAAGAATCAACAACATAGGAAATTGGTCTAACTCCCTTTTTGAGAAAAGGGAGCTGGGGTTGAATTTCATTCATGAGCCCTCCCAAGTAAAATCACTTTTCTGTGGGTATTTTTTTCATGTCACCAAAGTGCTCTACACTGGGGCTCAATGGGTGGTCTTGGCTGAAACAGAAGCCAAGATGAGAAAAAAAGGAAGAAAAAAAAAAACACATTACAACTAGGCAGGCCTGCAGAAAGAACAAAACCTGAACAGCACCTGCACATAGCTACAGAGGCCCCAAGGAAAGGCAATTAAGACATCAACTTTTGTGAGACCCTCAAATGCAATTCCAACAAAAGTCTACTCTGTTCACCTGCCAACATGTCTCAAGAGTCTGAGTGCAAAAAAAGAGTGAAAATGATCTGCTTCAGGGGGTGGGGATCAGTTAAGGAAAAATGCATGTGGTCTCAAGTTGCATGCGCTGACAATTGGGACATCCTGAAAAATAGTATGTAGTGACTGGATAAGGTGAAACTTCACTGATTTCATAGCAGTCCGCAACATTACAGTGTTACCCCCTTTAAACATCTAGAAGTACATGCACGCGCACACTTGCACACACACTCTCTCTCTCATTCTCTTTCTCTCTCCAAACTTTTACAAAATGACCCTAGACACTGTCTTCCTCTAGGCAGCATTTCTAGGCATTTTCTTCTGAGAATAGAATAGTTGTTTAAAGAGCCATATTAGATAAAGAGAAGCAGGGAGTATATCATATTTGATAACTCGGAGACACAAGATGAGAGGTATTTTTGAAGGAGAAGTGTGACTACTTCAGTCCACATGTGCACTTAGAATGAATTGGCTGGAACGTCTGGTTTAGGACACACATTGAATCTGAGATTGTCTAGCTTTTCAACATATAGAACCATGAGGTCTCTCGTGGCCTCTTGTGAACCGAGAATGAAATAAGAGCCGGGATTAGGAATAACATTTTACCACTTTGATAATCCTCTCTATTTCTTGGGAAATATGATTTAACATCTATCCATGTCGCTTTGCCAGGACAACCGTGACAAAAATGAGATGACAATGATAAAATATCCTGGAGTGAGTGAGGGGAATCCTAGAAATGTGCTTTCAGAAAAGACAATAAGGAATGTGAACGAGTAAAATAGCAGGAAACAAACAAAAATTTCTCAGTGGTAAGAAAGCTGTACTGATGTTGGCCGGAAAGTGGCATAATCATAAACACTCAGCAGGAAGAATGAAAGGTATGGTGGATTTTATTATTCGGTGAAATAGAAGCAAACAGGCCATTGAAATATAGGCTAATTCATAACTTGAGAATTATCACATTAAAATGTAGCTAAGGTGTATGAAGTCAGCTTTTCTGTTAATTGTGTCCTACTGGCTCTGTATAGGCTATTACTGCAAGGGAGATCTCTCCTGAGGTGCAGGTAAATTGGACATACCTGGTATGTGGAGACAGGGGAAGCAGCAATGAATGGCGTGATAGATGTCTGTGGAATCATGCGGTTGGTTGCAATACTGTACGGTGAAGAATAAAATCTGCAAACAGAAAACAAAAAAAGAAGATTCATGAAGCAGCTGCATGCCTGGCTGCTAATCAAATGCTACCAAGCACCTCTGGGAAAGACAGAGTTTCACCCTTATGTCTTCCCACCAACTGTTAGCAGGAGCATCCAGGAGATTTATAGTATCGGATTCCACTAAGGGAAATCGCTCAGAACAAAATGACAACTTTGAGTCATCTTCTAAAAATTGGCCACACAAAATCTCTCTTATGCCAGGTGAATGAATGTACCAGCGTCTAACCAACAGGGGGAGAAGAACAATGTGCATTGTCTTCAAGAAAAGGAAATGCCACTCTAAAGTTCTTTGAGGGAAAGGCAAAATGAAAACACCAAGCTTCATAAAGGTGGCTGATGTTGTATATACATGAATTGCAACCCGCCTCTTGATTGAGGAAATAAATGTCCACTTCTAGAAAGTTCTGGATATTTTGCGCTAGTCAGAGATCCGAGCCCTTGTGCAGAAAGTGAGCTAAATACTTTCTCCACGAGAAGAGCAAAAAGAGGACGATTTGTGTCGAGGTGGAAATAGGTGTATTTTTTGGGTACACAATCAAGGAACTGGTGGAGATTCTGGTCCTATGTGATATACTCCTGTAGGTTCTATGAAAAGCTCTGAGTTTTCTAGTCCTTCAAGGCTCTTCACTGAAAAAATCAGATGAAGGATGATACTTCTGGAAGTCTAGTAAAAGGAAACTCGTAAAAGGAAATCTCTAGATATGGAAATCAGTGACATGTCTATCTCTGCTCGGCCCATTTCTTAGAGTCTACCAATTACTAAACTCTCATATTCTCCAACAGAATTTTGAATCATTTTTCCTCCTTCGTGTCTCACTGGTAACTGAAAGGCTAGAGCGGCCAGTCACAGAACAGACAAAACCAAGCTGCCCGAGAGGGAAGATTTCACTGATGTGAAGGCTAGATCTGAAAAAATGTGTATCAGGGATAATAGAGTCATGATTTCACTTTGTCGTACTCTAAGCAAAAGTCAATCACTATATTCAATACATATAGTTTTTAATATTATGACTGAGGTTGGAGTTTTGGGGACAAGACTTCATTACACTGGAGAGGTCACTGCTATTTTGAATAGAGGATCTCAGCGATTACCTTTAAGGAAGCATTTCTAGGAGAAACCCATTGAACATAGGAGAGCAGGAAATCAAGGTTACCGTAATTCAAAGAGTAAATTCTTCCAACTTAGATTCCTATAAAAGCCTTCAATCTAAGATTGGAGACCTGTAATCTTAGTTTTATTTTATCTGGTCTTCAGCAAGGATTATACAAGGTCATACTCTTTCGGTTAAGAAAAAAAAATGTAGCTGAAAGATTACTCCATGACACATTATCTTCTCACTATCCATACACAGTAGACCCTTAAATTTATCAATGTTAAGCCAAAAAAAGATACTGACTACACATCTATTTGAATGGCCAAAATTAAAAACAAAAATAAAACAATATGAAAGGCTGGAAAAGCCGCGGAGAAAACGGAATTCTCATTTACTGCTGGTGGGAACATAAAATGGTACAGCCACTTCGGGAAACAGGTTTGCAATTTCTTGCAAAGTTAAATAAACACATACCATATGACCCAGAAGGTCCACTCATAGGTATTTACCCCAGATAAATGAAAATGTTGTTTAAACAAAAGCCTTAATCTAAATGTGTATAGCAACTTTATTCATAATCACCAAAAACTCAAAACAATCCAAGCGTCCTTCAACTGAATGGATAAACAAACTGTGGCACAGCCATACAATGAAATACTACTCAGCAATCAAAAGGAAAGAGCTACTGATACATACAACCACAAGGCTGACTCTCATGTGCACTATGCTAAGTGAAAGAACTGAGACTCGAAAGGCTACATATTATGTGATTCCATTTCTACGACACTATGAACAGAAAGAAAATACATTAGTAGATGCCAAGGTCTGGGGGTCGGAGAAAGAGTTCTTTACAAAATGGCATGAGGGAATTTTGGGAGGTGATGTAATTGTTGTGGTAGTCAGAAAATGCATGTGTTTGTAAGAATTTTCAGAATTGTACAATAAAAAGGGTGCATCTATATACGCTATATAAATTATATCCAACAAACCTGACTGTTTAAAAAAAAGCCAATTATTAGGTGTTATGGATTGAATTGTGTCCCCCCAAAATTTGTATCAACTTGGCTAGGCCATGATTCCCAGTACTGTGTGGTTGCCCACCACTTTGTGATCTGATGTTATTATCCTACGTGTTGTAAATCCTAACCTCTATGGTGTTAATGAGGCAGGATTAGAGGCAGCTATGTTAACGATGCAGGACTCAATCTCAGGATTAGGCTGTATCTTGAGTCAATCTCTTTTGAGATGTAAAAGAGAGAAGCAAGCAGAGAAGAGAGAGACCTCATGCCACCAAGCAAGAAGAGCCAGAAGCTGAGCATGTCCTTTGGACCCAGGGTTCCTGCACTGACAAGTTCCTAGACCAGGGGAAGAAGGATGGCAACCACCTTTCCCCAGAACTGATGCAGAGATAAAAACTCCCCAGGGAGCTGGCACCCTGAATTTGGACTTCTAGCCTCCTAGACTGTGAGAAAATAAATTTCTCTTTGTTAAAGCCATCCACTTGTGGTATTTCTGTTATAACAGCACTAGATAACTAAGACACTAGGTAAGAAAAAAGAACCATCCTTCTGCTTAAAAAAATTATTGCACATTTACTATCTGCTCCAAAGATGAGCAAGACTCTAACATAACTCTGAATTTTTCTATTTAGCTACTTAAATCGTATCTTATCTATATATCTCCCGTTGCAATGAGAACAAAATTTCACCACTATCAGATTGAATTGTGTCTCCCCCAAATGTCTGTCAACTTGGCTACACCATGACTCCCAGTCTTGTGTGACTGTCTACCATTTCGTCATCTGATGTGATTTTCCTGTGTGTTGTAAATCCTACTTCTATGATATTGATGAGGTGGGATTAGAGGCAGTTATGTTAGTGAGGCAGGGCTCAATCTACAAGATTAAGTTGTATCTGAAGCCAGTCTCTTTTGAGATACAAAAGAGAGAAGCAAGCAGAGAGACAGGGGGACCTTAGACCAACAAAAAAGAAGCACCAGGAGCAAAGCATGTCCTTTGGACCAGGGGTTCCTGCGCTGAGAAGCTCCTAGACCAGAGGACGATTGATGATGAGGAGGACCTTCTCCCAGAACCAACAGAGAGAGAAAGCCTTCCTCTAGAGCTGGCATCCTGAATTTGGACTTCTAGCCTTCTCAACTGTGAGAGAATAAATTTCTGTTTGTTAAAGCCATCCACTTGTGGTATTTCTATTATAGCAGCACTAGATAACTAAGACAAACACCTTGTATTGGCCAGCCCAATCTGGCCCCTGCCTACCTCTTTGGTAACTTCTCCTACTTCTCTCCCACTAAGATCCAACCATGCTGACCTTCTTTTGGTCACATAATCTCATCATTCTTACTCCCATCTTGGGCCATTCAACTTGTAATTCTCTCTACCTAGAATGCTCATTTCCCCAAGTCTCCATACGGCTACATCTTTCTCATCATTTGGTCTTACTAAACTGTCCCTTCTCCAGAGAAGCCTGCAGCTAAAGTTGCAGCTGCCATCTCTTTCCCGAATGCTATCACTTCGCCCTAATTTATTTTCTTCATTTCTCTTATCACTAACTGAAGCAGTATTTTTAAAATTTTTTTCTTTATGTGTATTGACTGTTTCTCCCTCTAAAATGTCAGTTCCAAGAGGGGTGAGGACACAGTGGCCTTGTCTAGAACAAAGCCTGGGACACAGTAGATACTTAATAACTATATGCTCAATGAATGAATGGCTAAATAAATAAGCAGCTTAGGGAAATAAGTACTGATTACAGTACAGGGTCTCCAATGCTGAGATGTTGGGAGTATGGAAGGTGGCTCTCTAAAATGGGTAGGAATCTGTAGGTGAGATTCCAAGGAGAGAGTCCATGGTCACATATCTGTAGAAGCTCAAACCAAATCAAACCCAATGCCGCTGAATCTATTCCGACTCATGGCAACTCCATGTGTTATAAAGTAGAACTGCTCCATAGGGTCTTCTTGGCTGTTTTCTTTATGGAAACAGATCACCAGGCCTTTCTTCCATGGCACTGCTGCGTGGGTTTGAACCACTAAACTTTAGGTTAGTAATCAATCGCAGACTGCACCAGCTGCAGAACTTTGTAGATGCTCAGTGTGGAAGCTTAATTAGTACCCACTTTCTAAGCATGTGAGGATATTTGTAACTAAAGAAAACAGTTCTTTTCTAGGAAAATTATGGTTTCCATCTAAGATCTGCAAATTGAAATTGCACTTAGGTCTTATCATTGACAGATTTTGTTTATGAAGCAGTGACAGAAAGATTTACTTTGAATCTCATAATGATATGACAGGAGTCCCTGACAGGCCTTCTCACTCACCATGCAGTGGTTTAACCTCTGTAAGAAGCTCAGGTTCAGCCTCTCAGACTAACCAGAATGAATCACACATCAGGTTTTAGCATGGCTAGTCTGTTTTGTAAAAGACACCAATTAGAGTATTGAAAATGAAAGCAAGTAAGTGTTAGATTAACAGGCAGTTTACAGGAAATTCTGTGGGGAAAATAGAAAGCATAAACATAAAGAAACCAGCCAAGTAAACTGATACTAGCGAAGGGAACCTTAGAGGAAAATTTAATGCATTTTTGTTCTCTCTGCTCTAATCCTATCCATCAAACGAGAATGATATTTCATTCTTCCCAGTGAGTTCCAATACTGCCACTCAAGTCAGAGAGTCATTCAGTACGGAAAATGTACTGGGATGAACAGAGTCAGCATGCCTCTTGATCCCCTAATTCTGGTATTCTGAAATAAGCTCTTTCCAAGACCAAACATAAACTGGATGAATTTACAGGAAACCCTTTACTTAAACCATGACAGGAGAGTCTGTTCTTGCACGGGAGGCTTAGAAGTAT